TGCTGTGTGCTCTTCCAGGTAATTCAGATGCTTTTCCCCAAGAGCTGCCTCAGGGAACTCTGCAGCCTTTCAACCCCCTACACAATGAAACCTCTGGGGCCACTGAGAGGATGCCAAAAACCGAGGGACTTCATATGACTGGTGTTTGTGCTAGATAGATTTGGATTCACCTGGATAACCCAGAGCATCCTGCCCTTTCTGTGACAGAAGAGTGGATTTTAAAATTCTGAGCAACAGGGACCTCGCCTTGCTTTACTTTAGGAGCAGAACAACTCTGTAAATCCCAGAAAGGGAAGTCTCCAGGAAAGGAGACTCCTCTTGCCCTATAAAGGCAAATTGGTTGCTTTGTCCTTCTTTCTTTCTGCCTTTTGATTTTAATGCAAGGCATCTTTCCCTGCCCAGGGAAAGGAAGGTGGTAACTCTGAAAGCCTTGTTTGTAACACACACACCCCAGGGCTTGCCCAGCTCTCTGGGTGTGCCCTGTGTTGAGAGCTGGCAATGAAAAGAGTGTTGGAAGAGCTTGAAGGGGTCAGAAGAGAGACAATCAAAATGTATTTCTGGGGTGTTCATAAATGAAAAATGGTAAAGACAAACAAGTTGGCGTCAATCCATGATGAAGGTCTTTAATTGAAAGCTCTGATAACCCATTCATGTATTTTAGCATCTCCATCCTCAAGAAGGAATCTCTGGAAAGGGGAGATGCCTGGGAAGAAGGGCATCGGGGTTGGCTTTGGGCAGCAGCTCTGGATCCCCCACACTTGGTTCAAGAAACGTAAAGTTTTCAGGCCGTTACACTGCCACGACAATAATTCAGGTCCACAACTTTCAGGACGTCAAGCGTAGTACATGATCTGAGATTCAGTTGGGGTCCTTTACAAACAACAAAAGAAAAAACCAAAACCATGAGATGCTGGCTTAGATATTGTTGAGTGATCTGTGCATTTGTAGACAGCCCTTAACCTGGCACATTGCACTTGCCCTTTGAATCCCATTGAGCTCCCTCAGGTGCCAAAGCAATACTCAAAGCAAAGCAAGCAGGGAGTACAGGGAAATACTGCCCTGCCAGACCTGAGCCTGAGCTGTAAAGCAGCTTTCCATGACAGGGTTGGAGACAATCAGCTTGCAGGAAGGCTCAGAATACTTTGATGGTGCTTCAAGATTAACTCCTCAGTTGTACACAGTTCCCTTGGATATATTTAAAACAAATGTCCTTTTTCCCATCAATACAAAATTCTATTGCAAGTGATCAAAATACAATTAAGGCACCCACAGCTGATTTCTACCAATCTCCACACCCATAGCTGCCATTCTACAGGGGTGTATTTTTGTTGCTTGGTCTCTGTCCATCTCGAGTTGGAAGAGGACCACAGGTGCAGCAGTCATTCCCCAAGGGAAAGAACACCAGGTCAGGAACACTCAGAATTCGTCTGTTGGTACTCACCATGAACTTCATAAGCCACATAAGTTGTGAGTCCTCTGCACATAGAGAAGGTGTCTGGTCCATAAGACTCGAGGTCCCGAACATTCCTCTTGATGAGGGTGAACAGAATCTCCTTTGCAGGGGGTCTTGGACGGTTCTGGTTCTAAACATCAAATGACAGCACTCAGCAGGATCAGTGCTGGGATCTGTTTCATGCTGAGCATATCCCGAGTTTTAATTGTTATAAAAGTTATAAAAATAACCTGAGTGATCTACAACATTGGCAAAACATGAAATCCCCCCCACTGGAAGCATTTGAACAAGGGCATTCTAATTGTTCAAAGGTTTCAAGTTAGGTTGATGTAAAATGTCATTGAAATCAATAAAAATGCCTAATCAGTGGTGTGATGAACATGGCTTTTGCAGCACCTGTTGGTTTAGAAGCTTTTGAAAATAGCCTAGGATATCAGTTTACTTTGCATTAAGTACAACTTTTCAAGTAACTCCTCCTTTTCAATCTTACCCTGCTCTCTGCAGCCAGTTGGGGAAGTGCATCAAAGCTGGGCATCTCCGTTCTGTTCATGATGGAAATGTAGCAGGCCTTCTCTGGCAGCACTCTGGTTGCCATAAAGCCCTGTAAAATAAAGTAACTGACAACTAGGAACTCATTCTTTCAATCATTAGTGTTGGAATTAAGTCTGCATTAAAAAAGTAATAAATCAGCTTTTACCAAATGTACGAGCCGGTCCCCTCGTAGAGTCTCTGAAGAAGCCCCTTCCCCACCACTCACCGTGTCGTAGTTCCAGAGGGTTTTCCATAACCCCTGGTGGGTCCTTTGCTCGATACTTGCCACGAGCCAATATCTATTGATGGTCATAAGTTGGTAGCCTCCAGCAATGGAGACTTTCTTGCTTACTTCCACCTTTTGAGTCTAGAAAACCAAACAAAAGTACACTTGGACTGACTTTCAAGTGATTGAGTTATCTCCCCAAAGCTTCAGAAAAATGAAAGAATGAAGGAGATCTCCCAAAGCAGGGGATACAGAAACAGCAGCTGTGCAGGTGGGAATTGGTCACTGTACTCACATGTTCACCAAGGGCTGGAGTCAGGACGAGTCCAAGAAGGACTGCAGTCAAAATCTGAAATGAAAATCAAA